AAAAACTGCCTCAGTGCCACTTTGTCAACCACAAATCCTACATGACCAGATGCAGGCTCAAACCCATGCCACCATGATGGGAAGCCAGCGACTAACCACCTGAGCTATGGAGTTGCCTAAAAGATGGATATTTTATACACTCTTCTTCTGTCTCTGTAATTGTAGCATTACTTGCGTTTTTTGGTATGTTGGTTTCTTTCATTTGTGCTGTGGGCAGATGTTCCTATCATTTTGTGTAGTGGCTCTGCTTTTATGGGAAAGGGGGGGGGGTAGAGTGTGCTGCTAACTGGTATTCATTTGGAACAAGTTCTTCAAAGATGTCTTGCATTTGTTGATGCTACTAGGATTTTCAGTTTAAGTAAGACCAGCACTTAAACTGTACAAGAAAAATTACAATAAGCATTGACACAGAGCAATCAAACAAGTTCCTCAGGCTGTCAGTGGAGAGTGATGTGCTCTGGTCACCACCACCTATAAAATTAGTGCAGGCAGTACATTTGTGCCCCCAGCAGTGATATTTCTCTGAGCACATTTCAAGCAACACAAAATATGCACCACCAGCCACTCTTGGATTAGCAGCAAAGACTGGCTGGATGACAAGTGAACCATATGTGGCAGTCATGAAGCGTTACATTCACTGCTCAAATAACAACAAAGGCTATCCTTCACTGCCACTTCTAGACAACTGTGAAAGCCATTTTCTATTGAATCTATAAATGTAGAAAAGGACAAGGGGGGTTAACTCTGCCCCCATACACTTCCAACAAACTTCAGCCTCTGCAATGTGGGGAGGGGAGGTTCTCATTCAACACTAAATTCTAAAATTCTTCACAACAAATTCCGTTGTCAATATATGATGTAAACGAATGTGTCAGAACTGTCCTTAACAGAGCTATGACACCTGCCAATATTTCTTCTGATTTTAAAGAAACTGGGATCTTTCCATTTGATCCAAATGTTTTCACTGATGATGATTTCATCATCAGTGAAGTTACAAACAGAGTAATGTAGGAGAATGGAAGACCAACTCCAAATTCTTCTCTTCAGGAGTGTGTCACAGTGGCTGCTTCTTCCATAGCTGCTATAGAAAAATATACATCAAGAGTCTCCAGAACAGTTATATTGTTCAGATTATCCCCATTTATTTCCCTTGGATCCTGTAACCACTGCAGTTTGGCTAGATTTCTTTGATCTAATAATTTGGAACGTCCTTTATCAAACAGTGACGTATGCTTCTTCAGTTCATAATAACCTAGACTCTCTATGGCTGAAATTGTGATATTTTCTCTAAGAGTTTCCCAAGTTCTATTGAGGGAGGGGTAAATAATATTTGGTGCATGCCCCCATACCTGTTCAGGTGTTCATGAGCTGTCACTTGCTGAAAGTAGCTTAATCATCTCAACTGAATACATTAGCTATCAGTGAACAGATCTTCTATTACTACTAATGGCTCTACAGCCCAGTTTGGGCTTTGGCCTCTTCTTTCAGTTTCTTAATCTCATACACAGTCAGTGGAGTCATTGGATAGGGAATCAGCCCACCACAAGGCTGCTACCTAGTACACACTTCACAACATGGTTTTCCCATAATTTTGATGTAGAAGAGACATAGGACATGAAAAACCCTGGGAAGTTCCAGATATTAAATTTTTACTCCCCAGAATTTACCACTAACAACAAACACTATAAAGTTGAGTATGGTTTGTGATACTACAATAACTGTAGTAGTACAAATAGCTAAATTTCTAGGCCTACAAATTAAGATACAAGTAAAGAAAATATTTTACTTAAAACATGTGCAATGTGCCTAATTGTGACAGTCACATAGCTCATGAAAATGAGGAACTTGATTTTACTTGCTTCTTACTCCTCATGTTACCTTAAGTGATCTGTAGACTGTTCAAGAGGCAGTAAAGAAGAGTCTGACATCCGACAAAAATCATGATATTTACAGGTAGTATGAAGGGTGTCTATTGTAAAGAATTCTTTAAGAAAATTAATATGTATCATTTTAGTAGAAAATCTTACTCTCATTACTCAGTACATTGATGAATGCTTGTGGCTTCTACAAATAATTTCAGGGTGCCATTAATAGCTATAATTTTTAACACTGTTGGCAGGTGTCAGATGTTCCAAAAGATGGATGCCTGACCGAATGTGTGGCCTGACCAGAGACTGAAATTTTCTAGTGAATTCCATTGTTGCAAAGAACAAAAGAATATTTGTATACCTAAATTAATTGAAATTAACAGCAATGAGAGGTTAATAAGAGCAAAGCCATTGCCTTTTCATGAAGGTGGGGGCCTATTTTAGATAATGAATTGGTGTAAAATTTGTGCACATGTAACAGCATGGTGACTGAACAATATATGTGTGTTTTGAAATATTCATATCCTGTTTTGGTAGGAGTTATTAGATGTTGTATGAAATGGTTGTGTGTGTGTTAATAGGCGCAGCGATGGCAATGTTGCAAATTTCTGTGGTATTATTTTCAAGAAAATGTAGATCAAGCTTTTATGAACTCCAGCTCACCAGGTCAGCTAATATTTCTTTTCATGATTTCATTTTAACCCTGAAGGCTAAGTATATATGTAAAGCATAAACATTGGCATAAGTAAAATTTTATTGATTTCTTGTTATAAGTGTGGCCCATAAGACCCATAAAAAGATATACAATCTGTAAAGAGCATATGGAGTCTGTCTAGAATTTCGGCTTTTGGCGACAGATAATCTTCACTGTAGCTTTATTTGGATGCAGGCTGGGGCAACTGCCACATTTATACCACCAAAAAGAAATAAAACCGACCCTGACCATGTACAGTACAGAAAAAGAAGCTGACAGTTAAAGCTGTGGGAAACTATTGGATACCGAGTAGAGTCTGTGAATATGCTGAAAATGTTCAGGGCACTCAGTTTTTGTTGGAAGAAAATATGTGATACAAGTAACACATACATGCTCATTATGATAGAAAAAACGAGATATTAGTGTTGCCCTTTTACAAGAAATTGCTATATAGCAATACCTCGCATATTGCACATTGTGCAAAGGATTTCATTGGTTTTGAAACTCATTTTGCTGAAGTCACTAATAACATAGTGGAAATTGGACAGCAACTTGGTTTAAATGAGTTGGATTCTGTCAACATAATTGAATGCATCAAATTGAACACTGATGAACCAGATAATGAAACACAGATGAAGAAAGGGGGGACAATTTAGACAATGACAACTGTGTTGAAATGCCTGCATGATAATTAACAGCTGAACAACTATCAAAAATTATTGGAATGGTTGAAACCTTGTCAGAGCATATTATGGAAGTTTATCCTAATATTGAACATAGCCTTACAATACGCCGAACGATAAACAATGCAATACAAAGAAATGTATGAAGAGAAAAGGCCAAAGAAGAAAAATGTGCAGACATCAATATTGCAATTTTTAGAGAATAAAAAATTAATTGCAAAAAACATGAATTTTTTAGAACAATTTCTAATAAAGACATTTATTAATTTATTAATTGCATTTTATTTATTGAAAACAGAGATTTTTTAACCAATTATCATTTTTTGTATGTATTTAGTTCCTCGATTAGTCCGGTTTCAAACAGTCTGGGATATTGGTGGAACCGATTACCCGGACTATGTGAGGTATTGCTGTACTTCGCAAAAATGGTTGAACGATTTTATATAATGAAACACGCATCCAGGGTTCCCACCCCAAGCAACAAAGCATGGTCTGACAATTCTCCCCAGGGGCATATGCCACGAACCTCTAATGGACAATGGCTGATCACTGTGTGTACAAGAAAAGAAAAGCGATTTCTTTATTCTTGGTGCACTACTGATTTTTAAGTTGAATCAGAATATGAATGACTATCACAGAGAAATGAGTGATAAATATATGTGGGGGATTAAAGAAAATGAACTCCAGAATTTACCATAAAACTGCATTTTTATGGTAGATGACACTGCTTATCACATTGAGAAGTGGCCTGCAGGATGCACATGAAGTAGTGGCAGTCAGTTCCATGGATGATATAAATATTGCATCCTTCCTACTCAAAGCAGCTATGATTCTGTTTGGAGTAAAAATAATCAAAGTGCTGTTGGGGTGGAAAGGCACTGACGCGTCATTTCTGAAGAAGACTGCTGAAACTGAAGTAATGAACACTTGGCGAAGGAACCGGTCCTCATTTCAGAACCGAATCATAGCGTCTACTTCCATCTTGAATTGCAGCAGAAAGGAAAGGGCCAAAGTGAAAGCAGAGGGAGGCCATCATATTCGTGAATTTATATTCCCAGATGCTATGATTGCCAAGAAATAGATTGATGCGAATTTTGAAACACAACACAGTTACATAACGTTCAGTGGATTAATTTCGTTAGGGGCTGCAAAGTATTCATGCTAGCAGAATCCTGTAGCATGGCGCCAACTGATTTTTTCCAGGGAAGGAAGAGCCAGAAAATTTGCATACAGTAGGTTATTAAATACTAATTTTAGTAATTTTAAAATACTCTTAATCCTTATTATTAATCTTTTGTATATTTATCTTCTAACTTTAAAGTAGTCCCCGTGATAGCTAATTAAGCACTAAGCCATGAACGGTGTATGGGGAGCGAGTGTGTCGATCCACTTTTTCTTGACCTCGTGACTAGAGTTGGAGGTGGGTGGTTAGCTTCACGCTCAGGTCGCTTTACCCCCGGGTTTTTGTTAATTAACTGGAGCAGACACCTAGTTTCTCCCTCCGCGCCTATGTACATGTTATGTTAGTAGGTCTACAAGAAACACAACACTAATGCAAAATTGAGCGGGGTCATTGATTGCAAATAGTAAAGACGGTAAAGACATCCCATTAGTGCACGTTAGGCGCTGTTCCCTTGTAGAAAGCGTCAGTGTGCTCATACAGGTACAGTGTGTAAGGTTCGTGACCTTTCCCTACTATTGCATGTGAGTGTGGCTGATCCGTTGATTCTATGAATTGATGTGTTAGTGATCCGTGTCAGGACTCGGGAGTGATCCGTGGTGTGTTTGTATGGGATGGTGAATGAATGGTGGTCGGTTGGAGATGAATATCAAAGTTACATGTGTGTAAACTGTTACTAGGTAAAGTACATACATCTGTAAAGTTGACTTGGAATATCCTTCAATACGGTGACCAGTTACAACCGTTTCTAAATTATGTTACTATTCACTGAATTTTCTTTTTTCCAATCCAAGTCCCCGACCTGTCATGTATTTGGGGCTTACAGGCGTTACCAGTTTAAACTCAAAGATATCCGACTTAGTCAGTGTATATATGCATAAAAAAATAAATAAGGGGTAGGACATGACCGGTCCTTGCACCGTGACCATCGTGATTTAATGTGGATTCCCCTCTGTTTAGCCCCTCAACTTCGAACAAAGTGTAGTATTATATTTAAAGGGGCGACCCGGTAGTCACCTAGTTGTGTAAAGTAGTGTCGCAAGTGACGAACTCGTAAGTAAGCTATAGCCTCATAATTATATCAGACTTGTGTGGCTGAGTCATCTATTTCCAGGCACCTTTCAGAAGTGGGATTATTGGTTAATTCCATTTTGAAAATATGTCATCCACCATAACTGGTTTATGTTTAATTTTAATACTTCCCTGGTTTTTCTGTCAGAGGGTCCTTGTAGGAAACCATTTTAAAGTTTGTGGTCTTTTAAGGACTCTCAGTATTTTTTGTGGTTTCTGCCCAGTCCCTTATGGCTCTCTTGGCAGTCCCTGCTGAAATGATGTATTCTGGTTCAGGTCCTATTAAAGGACATTTATAACCCTATTTTGCCAATTAAGTGGAAGTTTGATTAGCTTCACTACCCCTGTGACCCAGCATCCATATCAGTTGAACTCTGACTGGGGATTGAGGGTATTACAAAACTAGTTCATGTCATAATTGTCAAGTGCTGTAATTGCAGCTTGACCCTCCAATACAATATAAATGTTTCCATTTGTACAGTCCATATTTAGATTCTCTACTATGCATGCCTTGATGTTATACACTTCTGCCTGGAATGCTGTGGTATGGCTGAAGCTAAGCTTTCTTGTGCCATAACCATAGACCCCAGTCCCAGTTCCCCCCTCCCCCCCTTCTTTTCTTTTTGTCTTGGAACAGTTGGTGTAGCAGACTAGCCCCCACTTTGATGTCAGGAGGAAACCCATCTTCCTATCCACTTCTATCAGGCAATCTTTGTCATAGACATTTCTTGGTATAATTTGATCACCCCCATCTGTAGGATTGGTTCTTCTTTCTTGCCTTAAGACATGTATGCATGTCCATAACGTTTGGATTTGAGTTTCCATTGGTCACTGCAGTAGTCTATAAATTCCTGCTCTGACCCCAGCCTCCAGCTACAGGTGCAGTGGGCGGAGTCCAAGGAGGACCTCAATTGCAGCTGTAGGAGCTGTCCTCATTGCTTCAATAACTGGGTAGCTTATTTTGAGATGATGATGGATGATGTCAGTTTTCATGTTATTCAGTAGTGTTTGTTGACATTTATGTTCATAATGTAATTATTTTGATCCTTGTGAAGAATTAACATTTTTATTCTGTAATTTAATGCGAATCACTGGTTGGTCAGGTTATGTCATTACATTTGAAGAATCAGTTAAACCTTTAACGAAACAAACAAAAGAAAAGTTGGGTCAATAAATCTGATTAATAATATAAGTAAAATGTATGCGTCCAAGGTGTTTAGATCGTACAAACATGACACTAATAACAGTAGTCTGGGGAAGTGAATGGTTATTTATAATGAAACCAAATACATGGTAATTGCAACTGTCCTGTATTCATGACCAATGCCTCCTTCAAGTTCTGACAGGAACTATTTAAACCAGATGTAGATTTCTCACAACAATATTATAATAAGTCCTGACATTTCATGAACCTGTAAGGTATGAAATTGTGTTTATAGGCAGAAAACATCATGGCAGATGTAAGGGATATTCTTGAACTCGAGAGGCCTCCAACTCCAGAAATAACTAAAGAAGCAATTTTAGGGCCTGAAAAAGTGAAAAAGAAACCATTAACAACAAAGGTTTCAAAACGCCCAGAAGGAATGCACCGAGAAGTGTTTGCCTTGCTTTATACCGATAACAAAGATGCACCACCAATATTTCCAACAAATACAGGTATGAGTCATTTGTAACATCTTGCAGTTCTGAGTATGCACATCTTTAAATTCTATTAATTCACTGAGAATTTCATCCAATGTCCCAGGTCAAGGCTACAAACAGCTTAAAGCCAAATTGGGCATGAGACGTGTACGTCCTTGGAGGTGGATGCCATTTACTAATCCAGCACGTTCAGATGGTGCCGTGTTTCATCACTGGAAGAGGACCACAGATGAAGCAAAGGATTACCCTTTTGCTAAATTTAATAAAGTTTGTATAAATCTTTGAACATATGTGGCATACCTTAACTATAGTCACGTCACTACAAAACTGATACTTGAATTCTTGATCCATTGGCAGCAAGTTCCAGTTCCCACTTACACAGACACAGAGTACCTGCAACACTTGCATAATGATTCATGGAGTCGACAGGAAACTGATCACTTGTTTGACTTGTGCCGTCGTTTTGATTTACGGTTCATTGTGATTCGTGATCGCTGGGATCGGTCTCGTTTTCCCGATAGAAGTGTGGAGGACTTAAAGGAGCGGTATTATGACATTTGTGGAACACTGAATAAGGTAAGCACGTGTAACACTAATTCCATGGAGGAGAGCCCTTGAGAAGCTGCTACTCATTTCATCAAGAAATACCCTACAAATATTATGTTTTTGGACATTATCCATCGTCTTGTCTATTTTCTAAAAACCATCCCGTTTCTTTTTGAAAATATAACGTTTCGGAGGCTGGATTCTGTCGCCGTCCTAAGGTAAAACCTACTCAGTTGAGTTGGCCATGCCATAGCTCAAGCGGTTAGTAGCTGACTTCCCACTGTGGTGGCCCGGGTTTGATCCTGGGTCTGGTCAAGTGGGATTTGTGGTGGGCAAAGTGGTGCTGGGGCTGGTTTTCTCCAAGTACTTTGATTTCCCCTGCCAATCTTCATTCCACCAAATTCTCCATCACCATAATCACCCATGGCAGGCTACAATAGGCCAATCAATGGCCGCTGTGCCGAGCGGACCCAGTTGGACTCCACCACCCACTAAGCGAATTAAAAAAAAAATTTTTTTACTCAATTGGGTCAAATAGAGCTAGCCCCTATCTCGGGACCAGGTAGCTCTATCTATTTGGCCCAACTGAGTAGGTTTTACCTGAGGATGGGGACAGACTCCAGTTTCCAAACTGTTGTGTTTTCAAAAAGAAGGACAGTTTTTAGGAAATAGACAAGACGATGGACAATGTCCAAAAACATAGTACTTGTAGCAATATACCATCATCAGAAAGTTTTAGATCTTAAGAAATACCCTGCCATTTATGGAATATGTAGGTTCATTGCTGTGTTTGCAAGGACCCAGCACTGGACCTTATCCTTAGCCAGCTGAATCCAGTCCATTTTAGTAGTATGTCTATACCTAAGTCTACCAGATATGTGGCTTAATTTTAGAATGATGTTTCTGTATCAGACTCTTTCTCTAGACATCAGATTATTCCCAATCAATGTAATTATGTTGGTTGATGAAATGAGACTGAAATCACACACCAAGATTTATGTGGTTGCAGTCCCAAATAATTGTAATTTCATCGTGCTTGGAATTTCAGTGTTAAATTATGCTCAAGAGAATTGTTAAGAACAAGAAGAAAATGTATGATGAAATCTTATTACTCATAGAATGACTCTATATATGTGTTTGCCTAGTTACAGTTTCCTAGAAAGACATTCATTATATGACATAAAGAACATTTTACACTTTTTTCATTCGTAATTGATTCTTTCCTTTTTTTCCATTTTTGAAAAAAAAATAATAGAAAATCGGTTTCGTGTATGTATGAGATGAACATTATAATGGGGATAATTGAATGAAATGTGGTTATCAGCAGCTGTTTCATCATCATATGCACAGGAACTACTACATGAGCCACATTTATTAAAATTAAAGAACTCTCTATTTTGCCCACAGAAGGTATATAATTTATGTGGTTCCCATAGTAAACATTGATTATTTTTCTAGACAACATTAATGGGTTGGTCTTTGTAATAGAGCTGCAGTGTGTTTTCTATGTGGTAAGAATTAAATTTTTAAATATAATTTAAATGAATTCACAGGGTTAGTGTAGGTAACTGAACTCCTTCTTGGCTCCTGTATTTGAAGCTGGGGTCTCTTTGACCCTGTCAATGATAATGGTTTTTTATCACTTTGGATAATACAGAATAAAGAAACACGAAAGGGCATACATATCTGTATTTTACATAACCTATCCTAACCTGACTTCATTGAATCTAACTGAATCCAGTCTGTTAAAGGTCTTATGTATATCTATAGCATGGGAAGATTTAATGAGGAGAAGCAAATGTCCTCTGTTTAGCTGATCCAGGAAGCACATAATTTCTACTGGTCTTCAGATGGCAGAGGTCAGTAATTTTCTTGACCAAGTGGACTCCTTTTACAAGTACAATACCAATATGAATTCAAATATTTTCAGCTCAAAGCCAGTTCCAGTCATGAAACTAAGATATATGTGTTTGATGCAGACCATGAAAGAAGACGGAAAGAGCAACTAAAACGAATTTTTGAAAGAACTGCAGAACAGGTATTAAAAAAAATTAATATTTCTTGGAATTGTATTAAAGATGACTAGTGGTTACACTCTACAGAGCGACCTACAACTTAATATCAGTACTTGAAGAGTTCATTCCCAAGGTTATTACTAGGCAGAAATATCCTGTTAACAATGGTCTCACAAGTTGTAGAGCTGTGTGTGTTTGAAGTTCAGGAAGTGTTTACACCAAACAGGATGGTCAGGCAGTATTGCTCTAGACATGTGTTTGGAAGGTGCTTAGTTCAAATCTCTGCTGGGACACCAGCTGTCCTGACTGATGTTTTTGTGGTTTTCCTTAGTCCCTCCAAGTGAATACTGGGATAGTACCTTGATTAGGCTAGACCATTTCCTTTCATTTCATCAATCATACAGTGTTGTATAGTCTTCATGATTTTAAATAGCCAATCAAAAAAGAAAAGTGATTTACATGCAAGAAATTTTCTATTCATCTTATGTGTGGTACTTGCTGTTTGCATACAAACTAGATCTGCTTGATGTAGAAGGTGCTAGGTTACTTGATATGAACATTCAGCTATGAACATTGTAACCATGGTGTTCAAGAGCTTATAGGCCTTGGTTTGATGCATCAAAAGATTTCTGTTAGTAAAAAATTTGCATAATGTTAGTGCATGTGGGATTGAGTAATTGGCTTTTGATTCTAATTCTGGTGAACTTTTTACCACAGACGACTTTGATAAGGGATATACACGTGACTTACCAGAAAGTAATGATGATAATGTTTCAGCAAATCAGCCATGGCATGATACAATGGAAGGCAGGACTATAGTGCACTCATGCATTCTTTCTCTCCTTCAGAATGTGGTTTGAATCATATTATTGCACCTCATGTCACTGAAAATTCTTTGTTATGTAACTTTTTTGACCAGTTTTTACTGATGATTGTGGTCAAAACAAACTGTGGACCTGAGTGTCACTCTTAACGAAATATGGCAGTTAATAGCTCTAATAATTCTGGTAGGTGATGATGATCAAGACACCATAAAAAAGAACTGGTCTAATAATGAGTTACACACCATTCTGTTTAAAAATAATGAAACGTGACCAATCTCTACATGTTCTGAGATTTATATGCATAAAAAATAATGAAGATGTGGCAGACAGAGTGAATACAAATTGTGACAGGCCGGGGAAGCTTAGAAGGATTTTATACTATCTCAGTAATAACTATTCTACACTTTGTGACCCTCCCAAAAATTTGGTTATGATGAAGTAATTATTGAATTCAAGGGAAGAGTGGTGTTTCTGCAGTACATTCCAAAAACGTAAAAAAAAATTTTAATAAAATTTTATTTAAGATAGCAATGGGTGTACGTATGATACGTCATGTTTTCTACAGAAACGATGTGTGGGTGCTACTGCAAAGGTCCCCTAATGCATGGAACAGTGCTCCAGCTGACAAGAGGAGGTCTTTGGATGTAGGATCTTTATGAACATTTTTCCCCTCATCCAAACACCTCATGTCTACATAAGACGAAAATAAACTTCTGCAGGACTTCGCAAGGTTATGCCGATATACATTTTTCCAAAGAATTTGAAAATGAGGAGGTGTAATGTCACATATGAAGTGAAAGGAGGAATCATTGCTATTTGTTGGAAAGGCAAGAGGGAAATGCATGTTTTCACCATCGTTCGCCATGTCCCGTCATTAAGTAATTATATGGACAAAGAAGGAATTAAATCTTCTGCCTGGGTGTTGTGGGTTTGAGTGATATGTTGGCAGACACCTACAGTATTTCCCAGAAATGGACCAAGAAAGTGCTTTTCTTCTTCATTGAACTAAATAACCTGAATACCTCCATAATTCATAGCTCATATGGAACCCAGCTGGCTCATAAAGTTTTTTGGAAATGCCTTTTAAGGGGTCTGATTAATGCTGCAAAAGATATACCCAAGTCCTTCAATATCAAGCTGTATACGATCATCATCACAAGCAAATCACATGTCTGAATTTTCCTTCAAACATTTGAGTCACTGATCGGTCTTGAAGATGAGCATCTGTTCCAATAAAAGAAAAGTATCAAGGTCACGTTGTTGTGAAGAATGTGATTTCGATATATATGACCATTAATACAGAAGTTAATGTTGATGATAAACTGTGATTCAAGCGGGCATGTTTTTGAAATTAATAGTTTTTTGTTATGTCATTTGAGCTAACTGAGATTATAGCAACCAAGACAGACACACTCGGATGTAATATGATGCACTTTGTTACAAGGTGTGGCAATAAAGAAACCGGATTCATGCTCTAACCCTTTATTAAAAAAAAATCAGACAGTCGAAATGTTATCCCCTTCAATGTAGTCCCCTCCCCGATCCCTACACCGCTCCATGCGAATTTTCCACTGTTGGAAGCAGTGCTGCAGGTCATCTTGTGTTATGCTCTTCAAGAGTTGCGTCGCTTTTGCTTTCACTGCATCCACGGACTCGAACCTGGTCCCTTTCAGCGCAGACTTGATTTTTGGGAAGAGAAAAAAGTCGCACGGTGCTAGGTCCGGAGAATACGGTGGATGTTCCATCACTGGAATGTTGTTTTTTGCCAAATACCTCTTCACAGATAGCGCGTTGTGTGCTGGCGCGTTGTCGTGATGAAGAACCCATGAGGCATTCTTCCA